CAGAAGTTTCTTTCCCAATGTTTTAGTGTTGATAGTATTAAACGCACTGAATACAGTAGCATCATACATGCACTGAAGATACTTTATCACTTCCCTGGAAAGTATATATATATTTATTCCCGTTTATGCAGGAACATACCAATTGTACAGGAATGAATAAGTTATTATATAAATTACACGTATTTCGATGTATGTTGAATTTACAGTTTGTTTGTTCTTTCTGACATTCCAGTCAGTCGGAACAGTCTACAAAATAGTCTGTCTGTGTAACGTAAAGAGATATAGAAATATTGTCTTCGCATTAACAAAAAACCCAGACATCAGATGAATGTAATACAAATATCTGGGAAAAATAAAGCTTGAAGTCAATTCTCCTATATAACTCTGTTGTGAACGGCATCCTTGAGTTAAAGTTAATTGATGTATTATTTTGAGGTCAGTGATGTATTTATTCCATTTTTTCAGCAGTCTAATCGTAGTTTTATAATAGGAAAGAAATTTGATTGTGGATACGAAAACTAGATAAGGTCATGTTGGATTGTTTTACTGCATCAAATGGGGCCAGGGTCTATTCCAGAACTATCCATTGGCGCCATTCGTGTCAGCATGGCACACTGTACATGTAAGTTGAGTAATACATTGAAATCTGTTTGAAAACCAGTTGTTTCTTTATTTCAGATCAAGAATACCCCTTGTACAGAATGTTGACCAGCGTCTTCAAATGGTAGCATCAGATCGTTCATGGAATTTGAGTGTGAATTTACTTAAACGGTCATTTCAGTTTAAATGTAGGGTTGTTCGACCTAGACCAGGAGGTATATAGAAGTGTAGGTTCAGCAACAGAATCCTAGAAAGAGAAAGTATGTGAACATGAAAAGAACATTAATGTTTTTATGTATATATAAATGTTTATAAATATATGTAACCATATAGTAAACATTTTCTATATTCTAGTTGTGTTTTCATGTAATTTTGAGAAGTCTTAGAGTTTATTTAGTGTCATAATATTTAGTAATGAGTCCAGGCGTTATAGTATTCTAATAGCTGATGCGTTTTGGAAATAAGTGGTGCGGTGTGATTGGCATAGTCATTGGGATGAAAAAGTTTATATAGCAAGCGTTTGAAGGTTATAATAGAGTGACAGGTCCTTATTTCTAGGGGTAAACTGTTCCAGATCTTAGAGTACATGACTATGAAGAAGTTTGCACGGAGTGCTGTCTTACAGTTTTTCCTAGATACTGTGCACGTTTGGTTACGAAGGTTGTAAGAGCCTTCCGGTGAGAACTGTATCTCCTTGCTGTCTGAGAATGATATTTTATGCAAGACTTTAAAGAAGAATGTCAGGTTAATGCTGAGTCGTCTCATCCAGAGTGGGTCGATACCTAGAGTTATACACTTTGATGTGTAGTCCATTTCGCAGTCAAATCCTAGCAGTTTAGACGTGAAGTTTCGTTGAACGCTTTCTACTTTAAGTTTGTCACTTAAGCGAGTGCTGCTGGGAATAAATGGACAATATTCAAGTAGTGGTCTGACACAAGTTTTATATAATAATAGTTTCGCCTCGTAGTTGTGGAAACTCCTGAGTATGCATCCTAAGAGCATCCTCGATTTACGCGTCTGTGTCGCCACTTGCTCAGAAAATGTCGGGTCACGAGAGTACCTGAGTCCTAGGTCAGCAACACTTTGGAGTTTAGGCAAGTTAATGGATGTTATGTATGAGATATTATGAGGACCTTGTTGACTACGAGCGAATCTAACTTAATGCGCTGGCTAATCTGTCCTTATCGCACGCCAACAACAACAACAATACCGCCGGGCACGCAATACAAGGAAAAAAGACTGGACGTTGATACGAGAGCTTTTACTGTCTCTACAACGGTCGAAATGTTAAACAAAATCCCCGTATTTATATAGTTAGGAAAATCAATGTCACATTTAAAAATATTAACAAACCATGGGAATTCAGTAATTAAATGCGAGTGCAAAAAATCAATAATCATGCACGTGTGGGAAATAAAAAATCATGCAGACGCAATCAATATTGATGAGTCACCTATGTATATATCAAAGTACTAGTTTGATATTTATTGAGGGTGCACCGAAACAGATCCAAGCACATTTTTTAAGGTTGAATTTAAGGTTCCATGTGGAGGACCATGCAGTTACTCGATCTAGTTCTTCCTGAACAGATTTCTGAAAGTATCCTAAGTCATCACAGTGGAATGTGTAAGCTACTTTAAGACTTCTTACCACCAGGGAATAATAGTCTCCTTGACTTAGAATATGCAGATGATGTAGTCCTTCTAGGTGAACACGCTGACAAAGTAGAGCAGAGTATTCTGAGCACCCTGAGCTTGAGCAGAAATCTTCGAATGTTTCCATCATGCGACCAATTCTCCCCTGCCATATTAGTAATATTAGCTATTGATTTTATAACTCGTGCGCATTGTGGATAGATTCAATTATAAATAAGAACAAATTAGTTCAGCGAAGAGTCTCTTTTCGGCGAATTCATTCACTTAGCTGTACAGTCGCAAATATATATACAATTATTTCGTGTGTGCGTGTGTACATTAGGTTAGTCAAAATCAAAATAACAGTTAGTGTGGGTTACATCATCAAAATAATAAAGAAATTAAAATGTGTGATTAATAATCAAAGTTGTAAATAAGTGGGGTGAAGATTGGTAAGATGTGAGTAGGGTTACGTAATATAGACATGCCTTCTAGACAAATCAATAAAGACTTGAATAGATGTGAGTTGTCATCACTATACTGCCTGCTTTTTATTATTGGATATTTCACTTACAACTATGACCTTGTGATGTGAGCTGTATTCATGAAAAAGTGAATAATAAATTTGAAGGCACTGCAGAATGAATCATTTTTTCAAAATGCAATTAATGGACGCACAGTTTCCTGCCTGGTGGCTACTCCTTCTTATGCTATGGTTAATCGGATTGATCGCGGCAAATTTTCCGAATGAATTTCGTAACATGATCAACAGGATTCGAAACGAGATAAATGGGATTAGGAATATAGGTGGGAGAGGGTAAGTAGATGAAAGTAATATGACATTTTCCTAATTAACTTATCTACATAGATATTATTGGATCCAATTTGTTTGAACCAATTCTGCGTTTTTTGAAGTAGTTGGAAAAAAACGCAAACATTTGTGTTACATGTCCAACTATGTTAGTTATATTATTTCAATAAAATGTTTCCTTGGATAATTTACAGTGTTCTAAAGTGTTATCGTCGGATTCAAGTTGTTTACGCTTTCGTGTCTGTGTTATTTATGCATGTGTTTGACCATGCGATTTATTGTTTGTGAATGCGTTACTAAGACAATGCATACGCCCCGCTTCCCACCAGGGCAACGTCATCTTTTGTAATTAGCTGAATACCGGTAGTCAAGAATATATGCCCATTGTGTTCTGATGGCATGTAATTTCCACTGATACGTGTCGAGATTATTTAGAATACATCTACTCGCCCACAAACACTCGAATTTCTCATCCGACTTCAGTCTTCTTTCAACCAACCGACTCTCCCTATTTCTGTTTAATGTCATCATAGATGTATGTGCGAATGGACTTAACCCTAATTGAGGTGAGTGACTCAAGGACTGACTTCTTACCACCAGGGAATAATAGTCTCCTTGACTTAGAATATGCAGATGATGTAGTCCTTCTAGGTGAACACGCTGACAAAATAGAGCAGAGTATTCTGAACACCTTCAGCTTGAGCAGAAATCTTCGAATGTTTCCATCATGCGACCGATTCTCCCCTGCTGATGTCAAATGTAAGATGATGGATGCCGAAAGACTGTAATGCGCTGCACTACGTCGACTACTCCTAACTTAAAGATGGACAGGCAGACAGGAGTGAAGCAGTAGAACGTGTTCACCACTTCACTTATTTGAGGAAGTGCATCAACCAACGCAGCTGGCTGACCGCTGACGAAATCTCAGCACACAGATACACAAGGCTTGTTCCGCATTTTTCAACCAACCCAACTTACGCCATCTCTGTCCGGCTGAGTAGACGGGACATCCCACAGGCTGGCATATGTACAACTCACTAATTCGCTCAATCCTCCTTCACCGCCAGGAGACATAACCATTTGAATTGGAAGATACGAAAAGGTTAGCTAGCTGGCTGTGTTTGATCATAGGTATCTGCGTTCTATCTCCCTTCCTGTTAGGTGGTGGGTATGACAGCGTGAGCGAGCAATATCAAGGTGAGGCATCAGCGGACTGCTAAGAAAAGAAGGAGGAGGAGGGGAAATCAATCGACAATGAGGCGGTGATGCAGTTGCATAGACTGAGCTCGATGGTTAGGACATGTGTTGCTCACGCATGCATGCCTACCTGCCAAGCAATCGCCTCCCTCGACCGACGGGCGAGGCAGTGTTAGCCACTGACCGACATACGATGGATGGATCAGGTTGGAAAAGAGTTAGCTAACTAGTGGTGGTGATGACGGTCAAAACAAAACATGACTTCATCATCAGTCAATGAATTCCACAACAGTTAGTTTAAGCCAGCCAACCAGGCAGCTAGCCGTTCACATATGGAGGTGTTGACTTCCCCATTGACTGCCTGGTTGGAGTCCTCGGGATGGTGGGGGAGCCAATGAAGGCTGAAGGCGATCGGTGATACAGTTGGCTCAAAATCAGTCTCGTTGGTCGTTGGCGCTGGTGCAGATGCATTCACTCACTGTGATCTGTCATGTCCAATAAAACTCTGCCGTTGTTCTTCCATGTTACTACTATTCTTTTTGCCTTGCTCACACTTCTGTTTATTATCTCTCTCTCTCTCCTTCTGTCTTCTGAATCTCTGTTTACTGTGTTCTGTTGGTTTGTGTGAAACATGGAGGAGGGAGTGTGGCAAGTGGAACTGCTGGACATCTGTAGTGCAAAGTAGCAAAGCTCTACGTTGAAAGCAGTCTGTCAGTCGAATTCATATAGTTTAAGGTGCTTTTTATTCTTGTGGAAATTTAAATGTTAGTTAGTCTTTTGGAGAGTTGCAAACCTTCCTTAAAGGGGTATCAATCACAAGGTCAATCAATGTGGCTTCACCACCTCACAGCCCACACTAACGAACTCTCTGAATCAATTCAGTCGGTTAGTCAGTCAGGGAGTCAGTCAAACAGTCTGCATAGTTTATATGGTTTAAAAAAGAACAGTTAAAGTTTTGAATGATTAGCAGTCAGATAACTGATAATATTGTGGTGAGAGCTGTCTACTACTAGCCAAATTGGTAGACAGTAATTGACGTCAATGTGTATGTGTTCTCAAGATTTGTCGTGAGAAAATATGAACAAAGACTGATTCAAAAACCGACCACATCAGACTTTGCGCAGGCGGATACAGTCAACATATAGATGATCTGACACTGAAGAAACAGTCACAAAGAGATGGAAGATTAACTAACGTTCAGTGAGAAACAACCACCAGTCAGAAGACTGTGTTTGTTCGCTTAACTAAACTATAATAATGTACATGAAAATATATAAATATGCTTTGATTTCCTTAATAAACGATCTGTTGCCTGGCCCTTGTCTTCTGTTGTTACAATATTTTATTGCTCTCATAGCATAAATTTAAGGTGATTACACATACATCATATATATATATATATATATATATATTTATGTACATATGACTTACCGGTATTGCGTTTCTTGCAGGATTTTGAGCAGATAGACCTGGAAATGTATTCATTTGCGACGACTGTAATTCCTTGTTGTTGTTGTTGTTCACTATGTGATTGGCTTTTAAAGACACCGATGTCACAGTAGAAGAAGAAGACGAGGCCGAAGTAGACGAAGACGGGGAGGAAGGTGTGTTAGTGCACACACATTTGGCATGACTACTTGACAAATCAGAAGTTGTTGCTGTTGTTGTTGTAATAGATGTGGATTCTGATGTGATGTTAGAATTAGGCATTGCACTGAATACAGAGGCATTCTGTACATTCAAATCATTGGCAGTCGAATTCGGTCCAGTCAATAGCCAGGAGAGAGCCGATGATGATGACGGTGATAATGGTGACGACGGTGTTGAATTCGGTTGAAATAATAATGGTCTATCTTCCGGTTGTAATTCTTGCCAATTGGACGATGATTCATAAGTTGAAATGAATGTAGGATTTCTTGAAATTATGAGAAGATAAAACAAACAAACAGACTAAGTAAGTAAGTGAGTAACTAACTAACTAACTAACTAATGATAAACGCATAACACCACACGTTGTCTGTGATCTTGCACATGTCACTTAATAAAGATGTAACACACACACACACACACTCTCTCTCTCTTTACAAATAGCCTATAATTATTCAATAAGTATTCAAGGGTTGATTTGTACCGACTTGGTATGTTTCTAGCTCGATCACAAATGGATATCAGGGAAGGAAATATATATATTCCCGCGTATGTCTGCCTGGACCGACGTGAAGAACCTAGAAGACCTGGATTTCACGCGTGGATGATTTATGTTTTTGATATCACACAAAATCGAAGACTTATAAGTGAAAACCGACAAACTGGTCGAAGAAGCAGCCAGAGAAGACAGGACTCCAGGTGAACATAGACAAGACGGAGGTTATGAAAATAACTAACCAACCAACAACGACAACAACAACAGAAACAACATCCACCAGCGCCAATCACCATCAACCCGAGGGATTTGAGCGAGGTTACTTCATTCACTTACCTAGCTAGGGAGCATTGTCTGTCTCAACTGCAGGAGGAACGGACGAAGATGTCAAATCGAGCGAGAATCGGGAAGGCGAGAAACACATTCATCAACCTGAAACAACCAATCTGGAAATCTTCGTCACTCAGCAACACTCAACAACAAAATTCGGATTTTCAATACAAACGTCAAGTCAGTCAGTTCTTCTATACGGATGGATCAGAAACTTGGCGGCGGGTCACAAAGAATATTTCCAACAGCCAGTTGCAGACCTTTATCAACAACAACTGTCTTCGCTCTATACTCAAGATCAGATGGCCAGAAAGAACAAGAACCAACAAGAAACTATGGGAACGAACAAACAAAACAAGAACCAATCACCCAACAAATATGCAGGAGATGGATTGGACACTCGCTGAGGTGGCCACTCGCTGGGTGAGATCGCGCGTCAGGCCATCGCTCGAGTGGAACCCGAAAGGGAAACGGCGAGTGGGACGTCCAAGGGTGACATGGAGGAGATCGTGTGAAGAGGAAATGAAGCAGTATGGACTAACACGGATGCAAGTGAAAAGTACAGCAGACGACAGAAGCAAGTGGAGACGTGCAGTTGAAGCCCTATGTTCCACTAGGAACCCAAGGGAACAATAATAATAATGTCTGTTTTCGACATAGAACTTGGCACCAGTGTGCAGCAGTTCAAGTCGCCACACTCCATGTAGCACACAAAGCAAGACAAGAAAGTCAAAAGAATTGCAAAATAGGGGCAGTAAACAGAGATATAAGGCAAAAAGACTAGTAATATCGAAGAACAATATAGTTTTATTGGAAATTATAATTCACAATGAGTGGATGCATCTACGCCAGCGCCAGCCATCACCTAGAACGACTTTGAGCTAGTCATATCACCAATAATTGTCTCCAGCCATTGGTGTTTACCGTCCCGAGGACACCAACCAGGAAGTCTACACCTTCCTACGTGACCGGTTGGCTGGCCTAAACTAACTGTTGTGGATTTCATTGACTGGTGATGAAGTCATGTTTTGGTTCGACCACCACCATCACCGCCACGACTGGCTAGCTAACTCTTTTCCTTTCAGATGTATCTTGTGTCAGCTAACACCTTCGGTTGTCGAGGAAGGTGATGGCTAGGCTTGCGTAACACATGTCCTAACCATCCACCTCAGTCGATGTAGCTTCACAGCCTCATTGTCGATTGACTTCCCCTCCCACCTACCTAGCACTCGACCGAAGCCTTAACTCAATACTGCTCACATTGTTGTACCACTTCACACGAGAGATAGAACGCAGGTACCTATGATCAAAGACAGCTATCCTGGCTTTTCATGCATTCCACTCTCAATGGCCAGGTGTCACAGGTAGCCATAAAGGAGGACGGAACGGACTGCTGAGTAGTACACACGTGCTTTGATCCATAGCCAGCCAGAGATGGCGTAAACTGGTATATGCGAAACGAGTCTTCTGTATCCGTGGTGAGATTTCGCCAGCGACCAGATCAACTCATTGTCGTTGGCTGGGCTGATGCAACTTTTCAACTGAGTGAAGTGGTCGAGGTGATGAACATCGAGAAGATGGAGACGGAAGTGATGAGGATAACAAACCACCACCAACACTAACTGCAACAACAACAACGACGAGTACGTATCACCATCAACTGGAGAAAGAGGTTGACAGAGGTTATTTTCTGCCTTTACTTATCTAGCCTAGGCAGCCAGCATCGTTTCAACCACAGGCAGTTGGAACGAATGAGGATAACAAAACCAGCCAGCCAGATTCGAAAATGTAAGCTGGCTAGCTGGTTGGCTGCATACTGAAGAACAAATGGCCAGGCAGCCAGCCAACAGGCCGGCGAGAAAGAATTAGCAACACAATAAACCGTGGCAATGAGCGAACCAATCAAGAGTTGTAGATTGCTGAACAAATATGCAGCAGAAACTGGATATGAACTGATACGGTATACGTTGAAGAGACTGTCGAATGACATCGCGTGCAACGCAGACCATAGCTCGAGTGGAAGCCGAGTAGGAAACGACGAGTGGTTGGTCGGTGCTATTGTCACATGAGGGAGATCGTGTGAGTTGGAGGGAGGAGGAGGAGGAGATGAGAGATTATAGGCAATCATGGATCCAACTGAGGGGGACAGCACAAAATTAAAAAAAACGAGTTGTGTTGTTGAAGCCGATTTTTATGTTCCACCCGGAGCCAAAGGGGATAATAATAATAATAATAATAATATAATTTTAAACATACGCATGATCAAAGTGAGCCGACAATTGATCACAATTACTCTCAATGATAGTTGTTGGCAATAGTCCAATTGAAGTATCGGATAGAGTTAAGCAAGCAGGTAGATTCGATATACATGAACTGGACTTTTCATTGACAGCAGATTTACACTGAACATTTACAACATTATTATTATTGTTCATACAATTTGTAATATCAATTACAGGTTGACAAGTACTACTACTAGAAAATGATTCCATCGCGTCCATTTCAGCTTCACTTGGTACATGTTCATTAGCATTGATAATAGCGATGGCATAACCAAGTGAATGTGCCTTTTGTACTAAAGGTATCTGACTGCCAGATCGAAGACCATGTTCTGGATGTAGTAGAAGTCGTGGAGACCATACACCCGCTTGAGCAACACCTCCACCTTGAAGTAGGACAATTATAGGCCCTCTGTGAGTGAAAAAGTTTGCTGAGTGTAAAACTCGCATACATTTTGTTGGATGTCCAGGAATCTGTTGAATCATTTCAACAACAAAAAAGAAAAGACAGAGAAAAATACAAGCATAATAGAGATGCTTACAATTATTCTATAACTGTTATAACCACAATAGACACAATATTACTAATCAGTTATGCTTCTGGTGTGGTTGTGTTCTCTGAGCTGGCTGGATGGTTAATTTGCGAAGCTTTCATCACCCTTACTAGGTGACATCTTCCTTCAGCGCATACTTCAATTTGAAGTGAGCTTATGGGTTCCTCCTCCACGAGCTTATTAATCATCTCTCCCGGTCGGTGACCTTCGACGTGATTGGTTGTTTTTGTGTGTTTTCACACCTTCTAGGTTATCTGCATTGGAATTGATGGTTTCTTTGAGAAATACAAATAGCCTAGGTGTGAAAACACACAAAAACAACCAATCACGTCGAAGGTCACCGACCGGGAGAGATGATTAATAAGCTCGTGGAGGAGGAACCCATAAGCTCACCTCAAATTGAAGTATGCGCTGAAGGAAGATGTCACCTAGTAGGGCGATGAAAGCTTCGCAAATTAACCATCCAGCCAGCTCAGAGAACACAACTACACCAAAATCATCCACCTGAGCTACAAATCTTCACCATATCTAAATCAGTTATGCTTCCTTAAACAAAATCGTAATGGAATGGCTAAGTCCGTAGAAATAAAGTAAAAAATCATATTAATTTGTTTATAAGTCAAACCACACACAAACGCTGAGTGGAACAGTATTACTGATACATGGATAGCAAAGTTTCCAACACAGTTTATTTATTTATTGTTCATAATCATATCATCAATTATAGCGAGACAACTTCGAAACTTTCGTTTTATAGTTTTCCTTATTCCCTCCTACTCGTCGTCAGGTGGGGGCGGTAGTAGAATTTTCCAGATGCGATGATGGTGATAATGATAATAATAGTGATATTAATGATGAAATTTATGTGAAACATGCATAGCATAATGATAACACCAACAATGAGGAATATAAGTCCTCAGTAGTACTTCCATACACCGGAGGAACCTCAGAAACCTAACGGTGGCGATTTTTTGACAATGCAGGCAGGAATAAAAGTGGCTGGCATTCACACCAACACACTCAATTAGAAACAATCTTTGTCGTCTAGGGGTTCCTGCCGATGGATCCAATTAAACCAAATAATTTAGTTTATTTAATACCCTTCTGTTCAGCTACACACAAACATACAACAGGATGATGGGACAGTTCTAAAATCTAATATAAGAGGGTGGAGGGAGGGAGAGATTGATACCGGGAGCTTTATTTATTGAATCAGCTGCAAACACGCGTAATAAGAATGACTGAACATCCACCCTACGAATAGAATAGAATAAAGAAAACTATGAAACGAAAGTTTCGAAGTTGGGGGATTATAATTGATGATATGATTATGAACAATAAATAAATAAATTGTGTTGGAAACTTTGTCATCCAGTTAATAATAATAATGATACTGTTTCACTCTGTGTGCGTGATATCTAATAAACAAATTCGCATGGGATTACATACTACCACAGTGTCCAAGTTTTACACATATATTAAAATGAAATCTGATAAAACACATTGATAAAGACAATGTTGTTTTCAGTTAGATCTGACCAGGCTCAACTCTGATATGCATAACTCTAGAAATAAATATTTAAATACAAAGCAGTCATTGTGACATTTGTGTTTGACGCAGCACTACTACTACAACTAGACAGCTTAGCCAACGTGTCATTGAACATTTCCAATTGTGGTTTGACAATGGACAGGCAAAAGTCATGCGCATCCCCGTTTGTGCCACATTTAGTGGAGAAAACGAAAGCATTCAAGGTGATTCATCACATCCCACCGATGGACTCTCTATTCGTCTACTACGGACGTATAAATGAGGCAACAGACATTCGAACTAGTAAGCCTAAACTAATGCATTCAAAGTGCTCGAATATCTCACTCGTAACATTTCTGAGTAGCACGGGTTCGAATCTCAGAAGGGGGGACATGAGCTTTTCCTAACAGGTTGCAGATACGCCTGCCTTACTGACTGACTGGTGAGTGCCAACTAGCTCGAAACCTAGGTCAGGTAGGGCTTCCTGTTGTCGATTTCCGCCAGCTATCAAATACCATCAAATCAATGTGCACCGTGATGGTGAGCCAGCCTCCTAGTGGCATGGTGGCCACATTGCAAACCAGGGACTGATAGAATTCAGTCTACACCAAACAAAGGACTAGACACAGCACACTAGTTACTAGTGTCCAATCAAAGTCAGATGTATGTACACTGATGTATAGGGGATTAGATGATTTTGTCACTCAAGCTGTCCTTCAATTGTATGAACATTTTTGTTTCGGTAGCTGGATGCAATCTGAATAATGAAATACATAAGCAATCCATGTCATGTAATTCACACATATTTTAGCTGAATAGCCAATTCATTATGGATGATAAATGTCATATTAGTAATATTAGCTATTGATTTTATAACTCGTGCGCATTGTGGATAGATTCAATTATAAATAAGAACAAATTAGTTCAGCGAAGAGTCTCTTTTCGGCAAATTCATTCACTTAGCTGTACAGTCGCAAATATATATACAATTTATTTTGTGTGTGCGTGTGTACATTAGGTTAGTCAAAATCAAAATAACAGTTAGTGTGGGTTACATCATCAAAATAATAAAGAAATTAAAATGTGTGATTAATAATCAAAGTTGTAAATAAGTGGGGTGAAGATTGGTAAGATGTGAGTAGGGTTACGTAATATAGACATGCCTTCTAGACAAATCAATAAAGACTTGAATAGATGTGAGTTGTCATCACTATACTGCCTGCTTTTTATTATTGGATATTTCACTTACAACTATGACCTTGTGATGTGAGCTGTATTCATGAAAAAGTGAATAATAAATTTGAAGGCACTGCAGAATGAATCATTTTTTCAAAATGCAATTCATGGACGCACAGTTTCCTGCCTGGTGGCTACTCCTTCTTATGCTATGGTTAATCGGATTGATCGCGGCAAATTTTCCGAATGAATTTCGTAACATGATCAACAGGATTCGAAACGAGATAAATGGGATTAGGAATATAGGTGGGAGAGGGTAAGTAGATGAAAGTAATATGACATTTTCCTAATTAACTTATCTACATAGATATTATTGGATCCAATTTGTTTGAACCAATTCTGCGTTTTTTGAAGTAGTTGGAAAAAAACGCAAACATTTGTGTTACATGTCCAACTATGTTAGTTATATTATTTCAATAAAATGTTTCCTTGGATAATTTACAGTGTTCTAAAGTGTTATCGTCGGATTCAAGTTGTTTACGCTTTCGTGTCTGTGTTATTTATGCATGTGTTTGACCATGCGATTTATTGTTTGTGAATGCGTTACTAAGACAATGCATACGCCCCGCTTCCCACCAGGGCAACGTCATCTTTTGTAATTAGCTGAATACCGGTAGTCAAGAATATATGCCCATTGTGTTCTGATGGCATGTAATTTCCACTGATACGTGTCGAGATTATTTAGAATACATCTACTCGCCCACAAACACTCGAATTTCTCATCCGACTTCAGTCTTCTTTCAACCAACCGACTCTCCCTATTTCTGTTTAATGTCATCATAGATGTATGTGCGAATGGACTTTAACCTAACTGAGGTGAGTGACTCAAGGACTGACTTCTTACCACCAGGGAATAATAGTCTCCTTGACTTAGAATATGCAGATGATGTAGTCCTTCTAGGTGAACACGCTGACAAAATAGAGCAGAGTATTCTGAACACCTTCAGCTTGAGCAGAAATCTTCGAATGTTTCCATCATGCGACCGATTCTCCCCTGCTGATGTCAAATGTAAGATGATGGATACCAAAAGACTGTAATGCGCTGCACTACGTCGACTACTCCTAACTTAAAGATGGACAGGCAGACAGGAGTGAAGCAGTAGAACGTGTTCACCACTTCACTTATTTGAGGAAGTGCATCAACCAACGCAGCTGGCTGACCGCTGACGAAATCTCAGCACACAGATACACAAGGCTTGTTCCGCATTTTTCAACCAACCCAACTTACGCCATCTCTGTCCGGCTTAGAAGACGTGATATCCCACTGACTGTCAGGCTGTCTGTCGACCAAATGTCGTGTGTACTCCTCACTAGTTCGCTCCGTCCTTCTTCATCGCTAGCTGGCTGACTTGCTATGAGACATAACCATTCGAATTGGAAGATATGAAAAGGCTAGCTAGCTGGCTGCGTTCTATCTCTCTTCCTGGTAGGTGGTGGGTGTGACAGCGTGGGCGAGCAATATTAAGGCGGACTGCTAAGAAAGGAAGGAGGAGGAGGGGAAATCAATCGACAATAAGGTTGTGATGCAGTTGCATAGACTGAGCTCGATGGTTAGGACACGTGTTGCTGACACATGCCTGCCGGCCTAGGCATCGCCCTCTTCGACAACGGGCAATGTTAGCTGACATAAGATACATCTGGCAGAGTCCTCGGGATATTGTGGGGAGAACCAATGAAGGCTGAAAGCAATCGGTGGTGTAACTGGCTGAAAATCGTTCGTGGTGATGGCTGGCGCTGGTGCAGATGCATTCACTCTTCGTGATGATTTATCATGTCCAATAAAACTCTGCCGTTGTTCTTCCATGTTACTACTATTCTTTTTGCCTCACTCTCACATCTGTTTATTATCTCTCTCTCTCTTCCTGTCTTCTGAATCTCTGTTTATTGTCTTCTCTTGCTTTCTGTGTGGTACAAGGGGATGGGTGGGTGAGAGACGCAAATGGAAATGGTGCACATCTGTGCAAAGTAGTTCTACGTTGAAACTAGTCAGTCAGAATAATTATGTGAGATCAACTCATGAATTCCTTTGAATTCCACCCAAGTAAAAAAAAAAGTTTGTTTGTTTCAGACGTGAATTTCAACGGAGTTGATGTGCTATATCAACAAATTTAGCTTCCAACCAGCTTTTCCTTCTCTGATCATACAGATTTTCAAACTGAGTTTCGGTGACTAAGTTAGAGGTATTGTTTAATACATAGAAAAGGTGATAGTGTCTCCTTTTCATGTGCTGAACATTCCACAGATGAGATGTCATATACTAATCTGGATTTACTAGAAATGAGTTTGGTTGATGGTCAAGAGTATATGAATCAACTAATTTTAGTCTAGAATTTTTTTTATTTCTTTTGATTAAAGGCAGAGCTACAAAAATTGATTCGGAAAATTATACAAACATGAGATAACACATTTGAAGATAATAAACGGAGTTCTTCGATAAGTTACTGCCTCATCTTCTACCTGCTGTACCCTACTGGTCACGGCTTCCCACTATAACCCCAGGTTAACTGCCTGAATAGGGGCAGTCGCTAGTGAGCATCAGATTAATTTTCAAGTATTGGTTTTGTAGGGATTTTGTTTGATTGCATGGAGAATTTCATCATGAGTTGACATCAACTAGAGAACCACTGGAGAACCTGGGAGTACTGGACAGCTGTTTTGTCCCAGTTTGGGACTCTCCATCAGTACGCAACCACAGGAGTTCGAATCCAGGACCTTATGGTTACAAGGCGAGCTCGTAGACCATTGAGCCACTGGGACCCGATCCAATGGTTCTTGAATTCACGACATAGCGCAACCATTTCGCAATGTCTTCTTCGATGAGTTACTGCCTGATCTTCAACCTGCTCTATCCTACCAAACAACTCTGTTCCATCAGCCTAGGTTGGGCACTCCACTTCAGCAGTATGCACCCACCACAGAGGGGTTCAAACCCAGAACCTTCCGGTTACAAGACGAACTAGATCGTGGATCACTAAGTCACTGGGATCCGATTCAACAGCCAGACCATGAATTCCAACTTCTACCAATTCACGCCAATGTCATCACTGGCGAGTATTTTTCCTCACAACCCCGACTTGCTGTATTCCACGGGTGACGACTTCCCACTAGAACTCCAGGTGACTACCTACCTCAATAGGGCCAGTCGCCAGTGAGCATCTCATTGATATTCATTTATTGGTTCGTAGGGATTTGACTGATTGAATTCAGGATTTAATCATGAACTCACAACAGAGTTCCACCAACCCAAATAACTTCCTATCAGAATTATTATTGTGATACTTATAAAAGTCCACATCCAATTTTCCAGTACTACTTTACACTGTGTCAAGGAGATCATTTAACCGTTTCACAGTGAATGTATAGAATGTATAGTGGCTGGGGGCGGAGGAGCAGTCTTCTTTTTCAACATCTAAACACAATTAGCTGAGTTATTAAATCTGAATAGGGGGTTATTGGAAGACGGAGATTATGATGTGAAACAGAGAGAATGATGAATTCTTAGTTAAACAATTAGTATTTCCAAAATCCTCTTTACTTTACATTCGAAACCCAATAATCTGTTAATTTTTAGTTTTTCTTTACTGTAAGTAACATGATTTATATTTCAGGTTACCACGTATAGTGTGACTAACTGACTGACTGGTTTCAACGTAGAACTGTGGTGAGAGCTGTCTGCTAAGCCAAATTGATAGATAGTAATTTACGTCAATGTCCCCAACGTCCCCAAAATTGGTCATGAGAAAACAGGAACAAGAACAAAGACTGACTCAACCAACAATCAATCACAGCAGACTTTGTTTGCGTAGGCGGATACAAGTCGCAGATAGATAATCTGAACTTCAATAAACGGTCACAAAGGGATGACAGATTTACGTTCAGCCAGAAACCACCAATCAGAAGACTGTGTTTGCCTGCTTACAATAATCTATAATAATGTACATGGGAATCTATAAATATCTGTTGATGCCCTAAATAAACGATCTGTTGCCTGACTCTTGTCTTCTGTTGTCACGGTACTACTTTGCACAGATGTGCACCATTCCCAGTTGCCTCTCTCACCCACCCATCCCCTTGTACCACACAGAAAGCAAGAGAAGACAATAAACAGAGATTCAGAAGACAGGAAGAGAGAGAGAGATAATAAACAGATGTGAGAGTGAGGCAAAAAGAATAGGAGTAACATGGAAGAACAACGGCAGAGTTTTATTGGACATGATAAATCATCACAAAGAGTGAATGCATCTGCACTAGCGCCAGCCATCACCACGAACGATTTTCAGCCAGTTACACCACCGATTGTCTCCAGCCTTCACTGATTCTCATCACCATCTTGAGAACTCCAATCGGGCAGTCAACACCTCCCTATGTGAATGACTAGGTGGCTGGTTGAAACTAACTGTTGTAGATTTCATTGACTGATGATGAAGTCATGTTTTGTTTTGACCATTACCACCACCTCCACTAGTTAGCTAACTCTTTTCCAACCTGATCCATCCATCGTATGTCAGTCAGTGGCTAACATTGCCCTGCCCGTCTGTCCAGGGAGGTGATGGCTAGGCATAAATGCGTAACACATGCTCCAAACATCTCAACCGATGTAACTGCTTCGCATTCTCGTCAACGCCTTATCTTCCTTCCTTAGCTAGCACTTTACAGATGCCTCACCTCAATGTTGATGGCTCACTGTGTTACACCTACCACCACCACCACCACCACCTAAGGTGGCAGACAGAATGCAGACACCTACGATCGAAGACAGCTAGCCTTTATAAAACTTCGTTAATTAGGTATATATGCTGTAATGCAAATAAAGCAGAGCACAAATACACACACACACATCAAATATGATTGTGGCTATGGAGGGCGAACAACAACTAGACAATTCAACAAGCGTACCATTACTGAACATCTTCCTACCTCCCTTCATGGTTCAGAAAAAGCCAAATATAAAATCTATAAGAAGTTCGATTTTGTCTCATTTGATTCACGATAACGGTCAACAATTTGGACAACAGAAGTGCCTTCAAGCTTATATGTCGCATTCCATAGAACCTTGCGAATGAAATTCGAACTCGCTTGTTACAAGTAGCCGAAGCTATGCGAGTTAATTCCAGGGAACAATTCCAGTGTCTGTGAATAGAACAAAAGAAGTTTGTTCTAGCTTCACCTCTCTGTTGCTTTGCTTTGCCTAGGTAAAGTCCAATTAAAAATACCCTCCTGCCACCATTTCTTATTTTCCATCTACTCCGTATTTTTATGATATTTATTCAAGCTGTGATTATCTGTCCACTTCACCCACCTTTAGTATTACGGAACTTTTAAGATTTGACCTAATTTGCTTATTTATTGAATTGTCCCCGTATACACACGTATTACTATCTTCGTTAATCTTATCGCCTCCTCCATAAAGCTTATTATCCTTATTACTTTTGTTATCATTATAATCATCGTTATAACTGACGTTCAAAACATTCAACACATTATTATTGTTGTTTTTATTATTTGATCCACAAACTCACCGTCATTGGTTAGACTCTGGTTTTATATATAAATCTATGTAGATTAGAGTAAAGCCTGAAGAGGATCTAATCGAAAACAACAATATTGTTAGCAAATATTTTTTGTTCTAATATGATTTCCATCCAAACCTATATATACATATATCCTTCTAAACTTTCTTCAGATATATAACAGGCCTTTTCAGTAGTGTAATTGAAGATCAATGTAGATGAATTTTTTTAAACGTAAACATGAAACACAACAGAATCGGAAAAGCAAGACAAGCTTTCACTACTCTCAAGTCTGTGTGGAGGTAAACAGCACTACTCAGCATCAAAAATAAGATCCGGATTTTCAACTCCAATGTGAAGTCAGTCAGTGCTACTCACTATACGGATGGATCAGAGACTTGCACTGCGCGTCATAAAGAGCATCTCAAACAAACTACAGACCTTCATCAACAGCTAGTTGTCTTCGCTCAATACTCAAGATCAGATGGCCGGCCAGGAAAGATCAGCAACAGAGATCTCTGGCAATGAGCGAACCAACCAGGAACCGATTGTGAAACAAATAGGGAGGAAGAAATCGAGATGGATTGGCTGGCCATACTCTGAGGAAACCATCAAGTGAGTGACATCACTAGACAAGCCATTGCTTGAGTGGAACCCGATCGAAAGGGAAGCGGCGAGTTGGTCGTGAGTGCGAGGGTGGGTGGGTGACTTGGAGGAGGTGATGTGAAGAGGAGATGAAAACGTGTGGACAGACTTGGAGCCAGGTGAAGACTCTAGCAGAGAACCGAACGCAATGGAGACGCACGGTTGAAGCCCTATGTTCCTCTAGGAATTAAAGGATACAATAATAATAATAATAATATAGATATATATGCATATACTACTTAAATACACAGGCGTATATTCAAGGAAATCATCTTACTGGTATTTGACTTGACTCCATATTTAAGCTGAACAATTTCTGGCGAACAAGACGTGTGCAAATCTAAAAATATTAAGGGGAATAAGAAATAAACGATAACAAGATAAGCAACTGGCTGACGCAAGCACGGACCATGATTCTTACTCATATAGAAGCACTAAATGACTGACTGACTGACATTTGTGTTGATAATGCGAGTCTTGTTGAGGCGGAGTGAAGCAGATAATTTGCGATAATTTGGTTTCAGGTTGATGAAGACGTATCTTACCTCTCGGATTCTGGTTGGTAGATTGACTGGCTGACTATCTTTTACACCTTGATCTCTTACGACTGCCTGTGGTTGAAACGATGCTGGCTGCCTAGGCTAGATAAGTGAAGGCAGAAAATAACCTCTTTCTATCATTGATGGTGATTCGTACTGATTCCATTATGGGTAAATTTTATTTTGATAGAGTCTCACAGTGTTATACAGTAATATTTACTGATGACGTTTCGAGCACAATTTATTGCTCATAATCATATCAAGTTAATCACACGACTTCCTAAATTCATTTATTTGGTTCCATTGTTTTTCACTTGATTTGATTGGTAGTATTATTTTCCATATCTCAGGTATGAGTGATGATTCATTCCTATTGCATGTGTTAGGTGTAGATTCGATGAACAAAGATTCAGTAATCAACCTCTCTTTCCACCTACCTAGATTACTTTTTAGAATTTTAACCCTCCCCCACCCTATTGTGTGGTGTTGTGTTAATGCATGCATTGCAATTGCTGAACTTATTTCTAAATTACTTATCTTCTCTGGGTCAACCATTCTTACCTTAGCTAAATTCTTATGTTCTGACAATCTAACTACCCCTGACCTACTAGTTTGACCTTTGTAGTTGACCTCACAGTCATTGCAGGGTATTTTGTAAATTATATTATTTTGTCTAATTGGGTCCACTGGGTCCTTTAACCTACAGAGCTTGTCCCTGAGTGAGTTTGTAGGTTTAAATGCCACTGCCATCCTAATTCCTGCTTTATTTAGAATCCTACGTAGGGTCTCAGATGTCCCTTCTTTATATGGTATAACTGTCGATGACTTATATTCTCTCTTATTTATGTTATTATTATTAGTTTCACAATTCTTTTTATTTTTCTTTTGGCGTTTTTCAATCTTCCTAATGAATTTTAGAGGATAGTTATTTAAAACCAACGCCTCTTCTTCTATCTGTTTTATTTCATCATTTAGGTCTTTTTTTGTGCTACTTAGTGCCATTGCTCGGTTTGTTAAACACTTAACTAAGCCTGCCTTAACAGTTAAAGGATGAGATGAATTAAAGTCTAAATATCTATTAGAATGCGTTAGTTTTCTATAAACACTAGTGTGTAGTTTGCCTTCTTCTATTCGTTTTATTTTACAATCTAACATAGCTAATTCTCCTTGCTCATTTTCGGCTTCAAATGTGAACTTTATCCCCTCTACTAGTGAGTTAATATGTGTCAAGAAGCTAGAGATATGTTCTGTTTTTAACACTGTGTGAGAAAGTGTCATCCACATATCTCCACCATATTTTTGGAGTAGGATTAAACGTATTAAGTGCCATATTTTCCCAGCTATCCATAAATATATCTGCTACGATAGGGGATATTGGTGATCCCATTGCTACACCTTCAGTTTGTCTATATATTTTGCCTTGGAATTTAAATATAGTAGATGTGAGGCATAGCTGAATTCCTAAAATAATTTCTTCAATGGACAGCTTTGTTCTATGATTGAGTTCAGCATCTGTAGTTAGTTCCTTTTTAACTGCTTCTAAGGCCATATTGACTGGTATATTAGTATAAAGACTGGTTATATCAAAACTAACCATTGTTTCATCATTATCTAGTTGTATGTCATTTAGTTTATTTTTCATTTCATATGAATTAGTTAGCCTAGAATTTGAACGATTTCTAATGGGGCATAATATTAGAGCTAAATGTTTTGATAATTCATATGTAGGGGTATTTCTAAAATCTACTATTGGTCTTATGGGATAACCTGGCTTATGTATTTTAATAGTACCATACATCCTACTAGCATTATTAGTTTTAGGCATTCAATTAAACCATTTTGACTCACCCAGTGACGGCTTCATTCTGCGTACTAATTCCGCTGTGGATTTTTTAACCTTATTCATTATTGTGTCTACGGGCTTCTTAATTTCCTCATATGGACCCATTTCAATATGTTCATTGACTTTCTTGATGTAGTCAGATTTATTCAAAACTACGGTGGCGTTTCCTTTGTCAGCTTTTGCGATGACAATATTTTTATCCTGTTTTAGATTAATTAAAGCTTCTCTTTCCGATTTTGTCAAGTTTGATTTTGCCTTCTTTTGATTTTTTAGGGTTAATGCACATTGTGCTCGAACCTCTTCTGCTGTTGTTTTATCTATTGAACCTAGTGCTACTTCTATGTTAGGAATGACATCCTCTGGTTTTAGTGCTCGAAACGTCATCAGTAAATATTACAGTATAACACTGTGAGACTCTATCAAAATAAAATTTACCCATAATGGAATTACACTCTACCACAGTGCCCAAGTTTTATTCTTATATCAATTCGTACTGATTGTTGTTGTTGTTGCAGTTAGTGTTGGTGGTGGTTTTTTATCTTCATCACTTCCATCTCCACCTTCTCAATGTTCATCACCTGGATGGAGTCAGTCGTGTCTTCGCTGCCGGCCAGCCTCTACAGCCAGTTTTCGCCTGCCTGCCTGTTAGTTTTTGAGTTTATATTTGTGTGTCATTCAATGGCATAAATCACCCACACGCGAATTCAAGATCTTCTAGAGTCTTTTTATCGGTGACTGCAGCGTGTTCCTTCCTGTCTTCTCACTAACTCCCTGTGCACAGTCTGACGCATAATCCACTCCACCATAAATGGGAATATCATCGTTGGTGGTAATAGGCAGCCAGCCAGCTTGTCTTACTCTTTTATGCACTTCGAACCACTAAGGGTGCCCACATTTTATGCTTCTGAAAGACTTCTGTACTTGAAATACTGAGAAACCCTGAAGAAAACCTTCTTCGCAGTTGAACTTCGAATGACTTCCTCTACGAAACTAGTGATTCACATGAATGTGAAGAATGGATAAGCCACCACCACTGATGACCTTATCAATGGGTATCTCTGCCGATTCACCTGCTCCACCTGTGGAGTTAGCTATGTTGGGGCCATACCCAGCATTCGTTATCCAAAGGTGTATCTATCATCGAACGCTTACCCACAGTCATGGTTTTATAAAGGAGAAAAAAGATCCCCCACGTTGCCCCAGCCCCAGCCCCAGCTCTATCCTGGAACACAAACCTGATCGAATCAAGACAGCAAGCTGGCACACAAAACAACGCTAAAGTCATCTACAGAGTACGTGGGAATATTGCTAAAAAAACGAGTACGAATCAAACTTCTTCAAAGCACGCAGAAGCTATGGTGATTCATCGCGAACTCTGAATACAAAAGAAGTTTGTTCAAATCATCAAATCTACAATGGAGCTGATCTACCCCTTAACATCGGATGCATGATTTTTGTTGTTGTTGTCTTTTTTTCTTCTTAAATTGTATTACCCCAGTGCTTCACCCGCTTGTATTAAATCTCCTTATTAACTAACTTGCCTCTCGTTCAATTTTCGCTAGATTCCACTCTGTGCCGTCAGTTATATTACGTCATTCAATCTACTTATTTTGGTCTCTGCCCGATTAATGCTTCTTTCTATTGTGTATTGTGCGTCGGTGGCACAGTGGTTAGGACTCTCGCCGACCATGCACATGGTCCAGGGTTCGATCTCCTGCCGGCGCACACCCGATATCTACGGTCGGCCTGAATTTGGGCTACCGATATCCATGCTGAAAATTCCACACTTGTACTGAAAATACGGTGTGGAATCAAGCTGTAAATCAAAATAAAAATTAAAAAAAATTTTAAAAAATAATTGTAATTTGTTATCTCTAGAACACTTAACAATAACTAATGATACATCTTCCTTAACTGAACTTAATGACTTAGGAATCGACTTGTTACCAGGGAATAGTCTTATGGACTTAGAATATGCAGATGACGTAGTCCTGTTAGAGGAGGATGCTGACAAAATGCAGAGTCTTCTGAACACCTTGAGCAGCAATCTTCGTATGCTTGGAATGCGATTCGCCCCTGTACAATGTAAGATGCTGATACAGGACTGGACTACGTCAACTCCTAGCTTAGTGATAGATAGTGAAGTGTGAGAACATGTCGACCACTTCACCTATTTCGGAAGTTGTATCAGCACCAACGGATTGATTGGTGACGAAATCTCAGCACGGATCCGATCCAAAAAGCTCGAGTTGCTTTCGCTAACTTACACCATCTCTGGCGTAGGCGTGACATCCGGCTATCAACCAAGGGACGTGTGTACTGCTCAGCAGTTCGCTCCGTCCTTCTCCATGGCTCTGAAACATGGCCAATACTAGTTGAAGACATGAAAAGGTTGACTATTTTTGATCATAGATGTCAACGATCTCTTTCTCACATTAGGTGGTATAATTAGGTAAGTAATGTTGACGTTAGGTTAGGCGTAGAGTGTTGGGTAAAGAGGGAAAATCAACCGAAGAGGCTATAAAGTCACATAGATTGAGATGGCTAGGTGACGTGCTGTGCATGCCTAACCATCGCCTCCACCTCCCGACGAGCATTACTAGCTGATATAGGTAAGTGCAGGTTGGAAAAGAGTAAGTGGTGCCATGCCAAACAAAAACATGGCCTCATCAATCCATGAAATCCTTGACAGTTAAACTGAGTCAGTCAGGTAGGGAGGGAGATGCAGACTCCCGGGTTGGGGCCCTCGGGACTCTAAGAATCAATGGCTGGAGACAATAGGTGACATGGTTCAAAATCGTTGTCAGTGGCTTACGCAGATGTATTCAGTCTCTGTAATCTTTCATATTCCTTTCTACCATTACTCATTCTGTTTCACTCTTATACTTGTCAAAAATCTATTGATTCTCTTCACTCATCCATCTTCTTGTCTACCTTTGTGTGCTATTTGGAATGTGGCACCTCGAACTGCTGCACTTCGGAGCCAAGTTCTATGTTGAATCCAGGCAGACAGAATGACACATCTTCGGGACACATTCTTTTTTTATTACTAACTATGATTCACAAAAATAGAATAGAATAAAAAATTTAAAAAAGAAAAACAAGTAGACCTACCGCACGAATTATCTCTTGTCTCTTTAATAAAGGACCCATTGGAGTCATTTTAACGGAGAATGTTTCTCCTGTATGAATGTGACGAAGTATACCCTCTGAAATGTATATTTTTTTAAAATTCGAAGTTTAGAGATATTATGAGTCTATATATATATATATATATATATATATATATATATATATATATAAAAGCCTATGATATTGCAGAAATGAATAGTCAACTAAATATTGAATACCTCAAGTAGCCAGAGCCTATCATCCTACAGCTGGTCAAGTTGGTGTTCCCGTTTATCGGATAACATGCCCCATTTTGACGCAATCAAAAGTCGACAGACACGCACTTCTCTCGTGTTAACAACAACAACAACAACAACGTGTAACTGGGGGAACAGTTACATTAGAAGAGAAGAGAGAGAAGGGGAAGGGCACATCTCCGATTTTTTGAGCATCTACCAAAAAGCCTACGTCTCAAGGGAACAAATGCTTTCAACAGTGGCATTGATAGGCATCACATCTTGACAAGGATCATAAGCTGGACAATGCAATGGGTAAGGCAGTTCAACTTTCTTCAAGCTTACTGAAGCAATCACCACCGAGCGCCTGAAACCCGATTTATGTGTACAGAAAGAAGCGGTTAGTTAGCATCAGTCTTTCCTTGTCCTTGTGTAACTAACTGATTGTCTTTATTCTCTCTTCCATGTGATCAGGTAATCTTTGGCTTTAAGCCCCCCACCCTCTTTCGTAAAGTGTAATTTTGCTTGTCTCTTGTTTCCATGATTTCCGTTGAACTGAGTACATACATTGTTACCTAATTTTTATTAGTTACTCATCCATCATCTTACGCACCTCTCTTCTTTATTACGTAACTCCTTTGCCATCGTATGCATACAATTACTTTGTTTAAACTTGAACTCCTTGTGTAAAAAGTATGTAAGCGCAATTTTCTGAGCACTGTTCACTAAGACCAGAACCTCCTGTCAACTAGCATCAAGTAAAATTTGCAAGTATGTTAAAACATTTCTGTACATAAACTCAACAATAATTTATTTAGGCTCTAAGCAACAGCTGATGAGAAACCGACGAACGAAATAAACCATGATGGTACCATACTATTCAGTAAAACTGTTGTTCTTGCTTTATTCAGATTCACAAAGAGGAATAAATGCATGAAGAAAAACCAAAGCTTCAGTCCACTTCTAGCTGACAGCTTCACGGTGAGTCTCGAAAACAACATCCTCCATCCTTTGATCAGTCAACTGCACTTATACAGGAAATAAGCGTAGATGATACGTTCACAATTTGTGATGAAAACGTTGATTTAGAGTACCTCCTCAAAACCTTCAACGCAGCACACCCATCAATAAGATTCATCTTAGAACGCGAATCAAACATGACATCTCAATTCCTGGGTGTACTACTTACCAGAAGACAAGACTGCACGATCCAGAGATCAATATAAATCGGAAACCAACATGTACGGGACAGTTTATCAACTTTCAGAGCTTCGTCCCACTGGTGCGAAAGCAAAATCAAGGATTCGAAAAATCTGTTCGGAAGACACACTAGAGAATGAGTTGAATTCATTACGTGAAAAACCCTACTAGAGAATGGGTATCCATGAAGATTGATCGGGAAAATCCGAAGAAAACTCTCTTCATGAACCTGGAATCCAAAGGTGACATCGAAGTAGAAATTCTTAGAAACCACCTTTCTAAACGATATAAGCGTTATTTTCTGAGCACTGTTCACTAAGTCCAGAACCTTTTGTCAGCTGATATCAATTCATATTTGAAAGTATATTAAATTTGTTTCTGTACATGAAGTTAACAATAATTTATTGGGGCTGTAAGCAACAGCTGATGAGAAGTCAACGAAATAATTAGTGATGGTACTGAATTATTCAGCAAAGACTGTTGTTTTTGCTTTATTCATATTCAAGAAGGGAAATGAATTTATGAATTTTTTAATAATTTATACCTTTACCTTGACTCCTGGAGCAAGTTGCAGAAAAAAAAACAGTGAGTGTTTAATACAACTGTACAGTTGACTCAACTTCAACAAGTGTGAAATGGAATTCGAACCTGTGACAGACTAGTTCAAGTGTAACTGTATAGACCAATAAATCATAAATCGCTTTGAAAGTAGAACTTCAAGTTAATCCTCAGGATAGCGACGAAGCATCCGTACTAGGATCTGATACGTCAGGTGGAGATGAACATTTTGGTCTGACAGGAAAATCAAAATACTCAATCATACACAAATTAGAACTAAACCAACATAAGTCGTATGCACGTTATATACGTAAATGTGCAATTAATATTAGGCGAATTGATTTGGCCGTCGGTGGCGTAAACGTAGAATGCTCGCCGACCACGCATGTGATCCGGGGTTCGATTCCCGGCCACCGACGCACTCCTTTACTTCGCTAAACCACTAATAAGATTGGTAAAAAGGCAAGGTTGGGCATGAGGCTGGCTAGCAACCCCATCCTGTAAAAATAAACTCTACTGCTACAGAAACTTCAATCCTCTAGCTTGAAGCCCCCTATGTTCCATTGGGAATGTAAAGGAATACAAAAAAAAAGTGATTTGGACTGTACTCCCACAACAAGCCAAATTAAATAAAATCTGACTACAAGACAAAGTTGCCTGGAGTTATAGTGACAAGTCGTGACCAGTACAGTCCATTCATTAGGCAGAGAGGATGGAGTTTCCACCGATGACATTGGTTGGTGGTTGCGCTAAAACCACCAATTGATAGAAGTTAGAATTCATGGGCTGGTCATTGAATCGGGTCACAGTGTCTGAATGGTCCACGAGCTAGCTCGTCTTATAACCGGAAGGTCCTGCCTGGGTTTGAAGCCCAAAGGGTACATAGTACCGACGAGTCCCAAACTAGGACGAAACAGCTCCCCAGTACTTCTTTACTGGTTTTCAAAGGTTCTCTAACTGATATCAATCCGTGGTATAACCTGAAAAAAAAGGAATCACTACAACAAGCAATTCTTGGAATATATATATATATATGTCATTGCCACTGTCATTATGACATACACTTGATGTGTAAATATACCTACCTGAGTCAAAATCATAACAAAATTCCGAAACGTGATGATAAATTGGACGAATTAGTTCAGCTGGATTTGGTGAGACTGCACGAATCTGTGGAGTCGTGTGATGACTACTGCAATGTTCACATTTTTCTTCACAATCACAAATTACAATTGTATCACTTCTCATTTATTTACTGAATAGCTAGTGAAACGCTGAAAGGAAAGGAAACAACCGAGAGTGAATATTCACATGTAAATATGAAAGAAGTGTGAGAAGGACAGTGGCAAGTACATGTATCTAGGGTAAATAATTATCTTAGCATTTGCAATACTACTAATAGTAGAAATTATTGTTTTAAAAAAAAAGGTGGATTCCACTGTGTCAAAAGCTTGCAATCCCAACCGTTCATTTTGAAATCATCAGGTCTGAGAAATAATTTCGAACAGTGAGACATACAAAAACAAAGAATTCAGTGAAGAAAATTCTCTTTTCGACGATTTCATTTTCATATGAATTATAACAAAATAGTCCGAGCGAACAATTGTCGCTTTCAATAAATTCTTCCTTCTTCAGGCTGCTCTACAATTATAAATCCATTAATTAATTTAAGCATACAATAGCCAGCCAGCCAGCCAGCAAAAGCAAATTAGAACCACATAAGAAATGTGTATTGTGGAACAAGTATAAGTTGGGATGGAACATTGGTCAGTTAGTTTTTGAATATGCATGGTCAATGAGAACATGTGATAAAATGAGATGATATAATTTAATAACGTGTGTATATAAATAGATAAATGTAGTCAACAAAAGTACAGGTCTTGAGGGTGTGTAATCAGTGGTGTGTGAGACAATATAAATACTACAGAATATAAACTAGTGAATGGGGTAGACTAGACGTAAGTTCATGGGTGAAAATAACGACAATAATAATGAGAATAGAATAATAACAATGATGTGATGTAAACTCAAAAGTACTATTGGTGAATGATTGTCAAATAATAATAAATTTAGTGAAGTGGAATGAACAGGATTTTGTAAATATGATAACTAGATAGAAAAGAAGCAATTAAACCAAAGGTGATGGAAATTATAAGAAAGGTCATGAAGATGTATAGGTCAGAAATAAACGTTTGCCAGTAAAACAAAAGAATAGAAGATAGGAATTTAAAGTGCTAATGTTTATGGAAGATTTGTTGGCCTTACTGTAGGCCAAGGTAAACATAGAGGTTGAGCACACTTCTGTATACAAACAGCCTGTCTTCTGGTATTGATTGCTACCGCTTCAGCCAGTGAAAGAAGATGTAGTCGAGCTACTCTAAATAGATTACCAGTAACGCAGTAAATAACAGAGAACACATGGTCAAGTTTTATCTGGTGTCCAGTATCTACCAAGTGGGCTAAGCCTGCACTATTTAAGCATTTGGTTAACCCTTTACTCAACCATACAGGTACATGTTCACGTGCGCGCATGGATAAAGCCCTCTGAGTACGGCCAATGTAACTAGCTCCACATGAGCAGTTGAATTCATAGATGAGGCTATTTTTGTTAGTTTATCCTTAACTCGTTGTGTGAATACTGGTTTAGTTGGGAAGCTGAGTACTAGTTTAGCTGCAGGAAATATTCTCTCTAATACTCTATTAAGTCGATATTTTAGAATGTCAGCTGGATTTATAATTGCAGAACCTGAAGAAGGAAGAATTTGTAGAAAACACAATTGTTCAGTATCCATCGTTACCCTATCTCTAGGTATTGACATACACTTTTTAGGAAGTTCTCTGGATATCCATTTTCTCGTGATGTAAGTTTCAGTTTAAACACTTCTTCCTTAATGCATTCTTCTGAACATATGCGTTTTATTCTTCAACTAAAACACCTAAGTTTATTATAATAGACAATAACAATCGGTTTTGTCTTGTGGGTGCATTACATACACTGCGAAATCACAAAATAACAATGAAGGCAGAACGATTCTCACTGTAATAATATGATTTCACCTCCTAAAGCATTTTGTTGGAGACGAACTCAAACTTATAAGAGATGGGCACAATCGGTAAAGAACATAAGTTAGTAAAGAACACGCCAGGCTGTAGAAAGGTAATATCCTATTTAAAAAGATCATTGAGAAAAACGTTCTCTGGTGCCACTTAAGGAATAACCTACTCTAGCAGTTCACCGATGCACTTTAATATCAAGGCAGTGTTACCTCGATTGTTTACCTGCTCTTGCGAAGCTAGATACATAGGACGTCCATTGAGAAATATATACCACCGCGTTCAAGAGCACCTTCCAGTTTGACTGAGCAAAGGAGAAAGTATAGGCACTAATTAATCGATATTGCAACTTATTGTAGACACTAACCACGACGCAGCATCTGACACATCGTTTAATATAGTCTACAAAGTTCGACAAAGTTTACTGAAAGGGACACGAGTGCATTTGTTTTGTATAGCATAGGCTTTGACAATGCATAACATAAAACCAGAACTTTGTGTACAAAAACTATTTGTAAGATCTCTTTCGTCGCCCCATGGTCTTGATTTTACTATGTAATTCACAAACAAACAAAACTTCGTTATCCTTCTTTATGCCATGTTCCATTTTGCTTTATTCGATTTCACTTCATATTATCATATGCCACCATTCTTTTATTGTCTACTATTTTGACAACATTTCACTCTGTATCTCACTAGTATTTCCACTGGCTGTCAAACTTTAACACACACACAAAGAAACTGATTGTTATTGTCTATTGTAGTCCATATATATATATATATATATATATATATATGATTGTAAAACTTTGACAATGAAATCGTCCGAAAGAGAATTTTCCTCACTGAATATTATATTATTAGTGATATTACTAGTATTATCCATTTCTTGTGTTTCGAGTGAAATATAGGGTTTCAGTAGCACATTTATTTCATTGTATTTTGTTCTCTGAGATAATTTTCAACTGGCTGCATAACTAACCACAAGCTCGTATTACCACCTTACACGATCTCCTTCATATCACCCTCGGACGCCAAGTTATCATGCTTTGCTGTCATGAACTTGGTGCAAACTAAAAGTCAGCGCATTAAAGTTGAGGTGAGCGTTTCACTTACACTGTATGAAAAGCCTAGAGAAGGAAAAAACAAAGTACAGCATTGCTTCTACTACTGACAACACAGTGGATTCTAGGAAACAGAGAAGTGTAGAAAAAGACTGAACAAATAAATAAATAAATAGTCATGACTTTTGAGTAAAAAAAAGGGTGTACACCTATCAGCACCTATCAAACACTACACGTCTCCCAGATTATCATTGCATCAAATAGTGTTACATCCCAAGGCAATTCTTCACAAGAGAGCCACTCGATGCAGCACATCTGCTTCATACATTATTGAATAACTGAGGTTCGAACTAGCTGAGTAGTCTTTTAGTAATGGTCACTGTAGATATAATTTTAGATATCTGTAATTTCAATATCTCCGGCAAGAAAAATCACTACTTGTCTTCTCTGTTGCCTTCACAGCAAGTAAAATTTTCAAGGCATTGAAAAAATTTCGGGGTGTATTGGGAAAATGGTGATAATATGATGCATTTCTCTAAAACGAGAAAAGTTTCCACAAATGTTCCGAAAGAGTTTAAAGTCCCCAAATATCATTTAACAGGGTGATATAATAGGGAAAGTGAATTATAGTAGTATTATCTGAGCTGGTTGGCTCATTTGTGGAGCTACAAATCTCTTTTATAGTTAAAGGGTGTCGCACTTTATACAGAAGTAACGGAGCAAAAATAAATGACAGAAATAGAGAAGCGAGGGATAAATTATTGAAAAGCAGCTAAATGAAATACTAACGTTATAACTGTCATTATAACCTGAATCTAATGACTCATAAACTAACAGTAGGCAGTTTACTCCTCATAGAAAAGATGAAACATTCTATGAGTTTTCTCAAAAGTCACACTTACTGTAACAGATGAACTGACAGAAACAGACGACCTTGTGAACAAACTTACCGGGTTGTCCTTGTTTAGCAAGTGGTCAATGTGTAACACTCAAAGACAACAGGCACAGCCAATGAAGGGAGAACACGAAAATGCGGGAGAAAAGGTCTTTATTAACACCACGCAAGATTTAAAACTGCCCGGGTACAAAGTTATTTATCATCATTTATAAGAAGTTTCGACAACCGGTCTTCTTCTTCCTCCAGCAGGGCCACGTCTGCGTTCCTTTCTGAAAAATAGGAAACAGGAAACTCGTTAAGTGATATCATACAAGTTTTTATATCATTACATCGCTCCCTCCCCTCTGAAGGCACTGTCCTCAGTGCCGGACGGCGGTATTGGAAATGCACTACCTCCTTCGGTAGGCACCTCGAAGTAGGTCGTAGCGGGCGGTGGTTGCGAAGGTGTTGACGGGTCGTTGACAGCTGCTGGATAGTGGGATTTCAGCTAGTTGTAATGCGCGGAGATGAGCTTTTCTTGGGGACGTTGCAGGTTCCGCAGGATATACGTAGTCGGGGGTTGATGCTGTACAATTTGATATGGACCTTGCCAGGGCGTGTAGAATTTGGGGCACGAGCCGGTAGGGGCGGACGGACGATGGAGCCACACGTAGTCGCCCGTGGAATAAGTGGGACCTTGGGCAAACCTGTCATAACTGCTTTTCTGATGTTGCGAAGAAGACTTTAGATGACGACGTGCCAGACTGTAGGCTATATCGAGGTGGTGGCGAAGGTTGCGGACATAGGGAATCAAGTCGATCTTCTCATATGGTAGCAACGGTCTCCGGATCCCGACTGACAGGCGAAGTTCACGCCCAAACAAGAGCAGAGCTGGAGAAAATCCTGTGGACGAGTGAACGGAGGAGCGGCATGCAAGCAGGCACTGGGGCAGGGCATCGTCCCAGGTGTTCTCTGGTGCATTGTGCAAAAAGGCACGGAGATGCTTGATTGTTCTGTTGGTGCGTTCTACCAGTCCATTACCTTGTGGGTGATAAGGCGTAGTATGGGTCTTTCGGATGCCGAAAGCATTGCAGATGTGAGCGATCAGAAGACTCTCAAATGCGGCGCCTTGATCGGAGTGTAGATAAAGGGGGGCACCAAAGCGGGACACCCAATTGTCAATGAATGCGCGCCCAATCGTCGGTGCATCTTGTTGCTGCAGAGGGACCACTTCGCACCACTTGGTGAAGTAG